ACTAGGTCACTCACTGGCTAGGTCACTCACTGAATAGGTCACTCACTGACTAGGTCACTCACTGACTAGGTCACCCACTGACTAGGTCACTCACTGACTAGGTCACTCACTGACTAGGTCACTCACTGACTAGGTCACTCACTGACTAGGTCACTCACTGACTAGGTCACTCACTGACTAGGTCACCCACTGACTAGGTCACCCACTGACTAGGTCACTCACTGACTAGATCAGTCACTGACTAGGCCATTCACTGACTAGGTCACTCACTGGCTAGGTCACTCACTGACTAGGTCACTCACTGACTAGGTCACTCACTGACTAGGTCACCCACTGACTAGGTCACTCACTGACTAGGTCACTCACTGACTAGGTCACTCACTGACTAGGTCACTCACTGACTAGGTCACTCACTGGCTAGGTCACTCACTGACTAGGTCACTCACTGACTAGGTCACTCACTGACTAGGTCACTCACTGACTAGGTCACTCACTGACTAGGTCACCCACTGACTAGGTCAGTCACTGACTAGGTCACTCACTGACTAGGTCACTCACTGACTAGGTCACTCACTGACTAGGTCACTTACTGACTAGGTCACCCACTGACTAGGTCACTGACTTACTAGGTCACTCACTGACTAGGTCACTCACTGACTAGGTCACTCACTGACTAGGTCACTCCCTGACTAGGTCACTCCCTGACTAGGTCACTCCCTGACTAGGTCACTCCCTGACTAGCTCACTGACTAGGTCACTTACTGACTAGGTCACTCACTGACTAGGTCACTCACTGACTAGATCAGTCACTGACTAGGCCATTCACTGACTAGGTCACTCACTGACTTGGTCACTCACTGACTAGGTCACTCACTGACTAGGTCACTGACTGACTAGGTCACTTACTGACTAGGTCACTCACTGACTAGGTCACTCACTGACTAGGTCACTCACTGACTAGGTCACCCACTGACTAGGTCACTCACTGACTAGGTCACTCACTGACTAGGTCACTCACTGACTAGGTCACTCACTGACTAGGTCACCCACTGACTAGGTCACTCACTGACTAGGTCACTCACTGACTAGGTCACTCACTGACTAGGTCACTCACTGACTAGGTCACTCACTGACTAGATCAGTCACTGACTAGGCCATTCACTGACTAGGTCACTCACTGGCTAGGTCACTCACTGACTAGGTCACTCACTGACTAGGTCACTCACTGACTAGGTCACCCACTGACTAGGTCACTCACTGACTAGGTCACTCACTGACTAGGTCACTCACTGACTAGGTCACTCACTGACTAGGTCACTCACTGACTAGGTCACTCACTGACTAGGTCACTCACTGACTAGGTCACTCACTGACTACTAGGTCACTCCCTGACTAGGTCACTCCCTGACTAGGTCACTCACTGACTAGGTCACTCACTGACTAGGTCACTCACTGACTAGGTCACTCACTGACTAGGTCACTCACTGACTAGGTCACTCACTGACTAGGTCACTCCCTGACTAGGTCACTCACTGACTAGGTCACTCCCTGACTAGGTCACTCACTGACTAGGTCACTCACTGACTAGGTCACTCACTGACTAGGTCACTCACTGACTAGGTCACTCACTGACTAGGTCACTCCCTGACTAGGTCACTCACTGACTAGGTCACTCACTGACTAGGTCACTCACTGACTAGGTCACTCCCTGACTAGGTCACTCACTGACTAGGTCACCCACTGACTAGGTCACTCACTGACTAGGTCACTCACTGACTAGGTCACTCACTGACTAGGTCACTCACTGACTAGGTCACTTACTGACTAGGTCACCCACTGACTAGGTCACTGACTTACTAGGTCACTCACTGACTAGGTCACTTACTGACTAGGTCACTCACTGACTAGGTCACTCACTGACTAGGTCACTCACTGACTAGGTCACTCACTGACTAGGTCACCCACTGACTAGGTCACTCACTGACTAGGTCACTCACTGACTAGGTCACTCACTGACTAGGTCACTCACTGACTAGGTCACTGACTGACTAGGTCACTTACTGACTAGGTCACTCACTGACTAGGTCACTCACTGACTAGGTCACTCACTGACTAGGTCACCCACTGACTAGGTCACCCACTGACTAGGTCACTCACTGACTAGATCAGTCACTGACTAGGCCATTCACTGACTAGGTCACTCACTGGCTAGGTCACTCACTGACTAGGTCACTCACTGACTAGGTCACTCACTGACTAGGTCACCCACTGACTAGGTCACTCACTGACTAGGTCACTCACTGACTAGGTCACTCACTGACTAGGTCACTCACTGACTAGGTCACTCACTGACTAGGTCACTCACTGACTAGGTCACTCACTGACTAGGTCACCCACTGACTAGGTCACCCACTGACTAGGTCACTCACTGACTAGATCAGTCACTGACTAGGCCATTCACTGACTAGGTCACTCACTGGCTAGGTCACTCACTGACTAGGTCACTCACTGACTAGGTCACTCACTGACTAGGTCACTCACTGACTAGGTCACTCACTGACTAGGTCACCCACTGACTAGGTCAGTCACTGACTAGGTCACTCACTGACTAGGTCACTCACTGACTAGGTCACTCACTGACTAGGTCACTTACTGACTAGGTCACCCACTGACTAGGTCACTGACTTACTAGGTCACTCACTGACTAGGTCACTCACTGACTAGGTCACTCACTGACTAGGTCACTCCCTGACTAGGTCACTCCCTGACTAGGTCACTCCCTGACTAGGTCACTCCCTGACTAGCTCACTGACTAGGTCACTTACTGACTAGGTCACTCACTGACTAGGTCACTCACTGACTAGATCAGTCACTGACTAGGCCATTCACTGACTAGGTCACTCACTGACTTGGTCACTCACTGACTAGGTCACTCACTGACTAGGTCACTGACTGACTAGGTCACTTACTGACTAGGTCACTCACTGACTAGGTCACTCACTGACTAGGTCACTCACTGACTAGGTCACCCACTGACTAGGTCACTCACTGACTAGGTCACTCACTGACTAGGTCACTCACTGACTAGGTCACTCACTGACTAGGTCACCCACTGACTAGGTCACTCACTGACTAGGTCACTCACTGACTAGGTCACTCACTGACTAGGTCACTCACTGACTAGGTCACTCACTGACTAGATCAGTCACTGACTAGGCCATTCACTGACTAGGTCACTCACTGGCTAGGTCACTCACTGACTAGGTCACTCACTGACTAGGTCACTCACTGACTAGGTCACCCACTGACTAGGTCACTCACTGACTAGGTCACTCACTGACTAGGTCACTCACTGACTAGGTCACTCACTGACTAGGTCACTCACTGACTAGGTCACTCACTGACTAGGTCACTCACTGACTAGGTCACTCACTGACTACTAGGTCACTCCCTGACTAGGTCACTCCCTGACTAGGTCACTCACTGACTAGGTCACTCACTGACTAGGTCACTCACTGACTAGGTCACTCACTGACTAGGTCACTCACTGACTAGGTCACTCACTGACTAGGTCACTCCCTGACTAGGTCACTCACTGACTAGGTCACTCCCTGACTAGGTCACTCACTGACTAGGTCACTCACTGACTAGGTCACTCACTGACTAGGTCACTCACTGACTAGGTCACTCACTGACTAGGTCACTCCCTGACTAGGTCACTCACTGACTAGGTCACTCACTGACTAGGTCACTCACTGACTAGGTCACTCCCTGACTAGGTCACTCACTGACTAGGTCACTCACTGACTAGGTCACTCACTGACTAGGTCACTCACTGACTAGGTCACTCACTGACTAGGTCACTCACTGACTAGGTCACTCACTGACTAGGTCACTCACTGACTAGGTCACTCCCTGACTAGGTCACTCACTGACTAGGTCACTCACTGACTAGGTCACTCCCTGACTAGGTCACTCCCTGACTAGGTCACTCCCTGACTAGGACAATCAGAGTGTACGTTAAGTCAGAGGCTATGATGGTTACATACAGGCAAGAATATCCACCAACTAGGCCAAAAACAGAAGGTCAGTCAGAAACCAAAACAGTCATAAGGTAGGTCATAAGGCTAAATCATTGAGAGGCTAGAACACTCACAGAATATTAACACACTCACATGCTAACACACTGACAGGCTAAGACACTCACAGGATTCTAAGACACTCACAGGATACTAAGACACTCACAGAAACCATGGCACTCACGGCAAAACACGAAGAAGGAAACATTCCGTTCATTAGGGGAAAGGGGAGCAAGGGGAGGGGGAGAAGGTCAACTGAAGGGGAGCAGGCTGATGTTCTATGTAAAATAACAAGAAATCAGCGTGAGTGATCCTGGCGGCGAGGCGAGTACTACTTGTGTCGCTGCGAGCATCTTCTTACTCGCGTTCGCTTTAGGTCCTTCTCACCTTAATACGACAAGCAATCAGCCATACGATGTTTCTTCCCTCAACCTTAGCACCTAGCAATCAGCTTTAAGATGTTTCAACCTTAGCACCTAGCAATTATCTTAGCTTGCTTCTGCCATCTTAGCCTGCCAAGCTAATCGTATCAGCTCGTACGAATGCTTGACAGCAGAAGCATCGTCACGTTCTCTGGCGTTCAAACCGCCAGCAAAAATTAACCTACATGCGCACCACATTTAATGTGACTGAGAAGCCTTTACCAGGTCAAGTCAACTGCGACTCGCGAGTTGACTCAAGTTGGGGCCGACTCGACTCGAATCAAATCAACTCGGCCTGTGCACATGTCTAGGTCATTCACAAGCTAGGTCAGACAAGTTCAGCCAGTTGCGGCAAGATCAATCACAGGCTGGTTCACTCACCCCCTAGGTTGACCAAAAGCTGAGGTGGGTCACAGGGTCGGCCAGTACCTGTGTACGTGACAGCGGGAGTGTCTGAACCAGGGGAGGAAAAACAGCACGGGAAGGGACCGGGGGATCAATGAGAAATCAAAGCCTAGGTCAATCAAAGCCAGGCCATTCCGAGCCTAGGTCAATCAAAGCCTAGGTCAATCAGAGCCTAGGTCAATCAGAGCCTAGGTCAATCAGAGCCTAGGTCAATCAGAGCCTAGGTCAATCCGAGCCTAGGTCAGTGACAGCATGGTGAATGAGGCTAGAGGGGAAAACAGCAGCACGGGAGGCTGACAGTGCGGTCATTGCGTGGGTGAGGGCAGCGTGACTCCATGAACCAAGCCTTGGAAACACAGCACGGGTAGGGGACAGGGTAACAAAGCTACGAGGGGCAATGCGTCAAGGGGCTCTGCTAATGGCGGTGTGCAGAATTCGGAAGTGACTCGGCAGGTATGTAACTTCGAGTTGCAGATCGGGCTCTGACACAACTGGCACCATGATTCGTCAACTGCGAGCTCCAAACTTGCAGGGCCTGAATGCGGCCGGGTTAGGGTTTCGACAGAGGGACTTACCTCTATATAAGGTTCCTGGACTGTCGTGTTCCCGCAGCTCTCGATTTGTCTTAGCAGCGACGCGGGCAGAGCGGGCTGCTTGATGGCGAGGCTTTCGATTTCGAGAGTGATGTGGGGGAAGGCCAAAGAGACGCGGGGCAGGAAAGGTGACGAGCGAACGAATGGCAACGAGAAACCGGCGTCGCCGTTGTTACTGTTTCGTAGAGGCGATTCGGGCTACCTTTTCTCACGATGGGAAGAAGCAGGTTCACGATGTACGTCTAGTACTGTGTTCTGGTTGAGGCAACCTTCTTGACTTGACACGGGCTTGGCATGGGAACGACACAGGAAGAAGTGATTTCAAATTGTCACCCAGCCCTCGTATAAAGTTCGACCGGCCAACTTCATACATACTCAGATTAGTCCCGAGCGGGTTCTCAGGTGTAATCAACCTGGACTTTCTCAACGTTGATTGGTCGTCGCTTTTTAGTCACATTGTTTACGCTGGTCAAAATCTTTAGGAAGTGACAAAAACAAAACTATCTACTTTACCCTCCCGACTTTGATTTGTTAAATTAAAGTACGTAAATTTACGACAGGGCATAAAAACTAAACCCCTGTAGAATCTGGACGCATTTTCAGGAGGGATCAACCCTAAACACGGGAAAGGGCATTGTTTTTAGGGTTGATGCCTCCCGAGTCGCATCCCTTTCGATTGGGTTTTATTTTTTGGGTCAAGAGGGTGCAATATATTTCTCCTGAAGTGGGCGGCTTCCCGTAGAAGCAGGGAAGGGGATGGGGGGAAACAGGGAAGGAGATGGGAGAAGCAGGGAAGGAGATGGGGGGAAGCAGGGAAGGGGATGGGGGGATGGTGGGAGGGGGACGGGGGGAAGGAGGGAAGAGGACGGGGGGAAGCAGGGAAGGGGATGGGGGGAAGCAGGTTAGGGGATGGGGGGAGCAGGGAAGGGATGGGGGCAAGCAGGGACGGGCATGGGGGGAGGCAGGGGAGGGGACGGGGGGAAGCAGGGAAGGAAATGGGGGGAAGCAAGTCGGAGGATGGGGGGAAGCAGCGCAGGGGATACGGGGAAACAGGGAAGAAAGGAAGGGTGTATGTGCGGGTTGGAAAGGGGGCGTGACAAGTGTGCGAGGGGAGATGAGGGATGGGGAGGTGACGGATGGGGAGGTGAGGGATGGGATAGGCTACGCGATGGGCTTGGGGCAATCTGGAGGGGATTGTGATGGCGCTGTGGACGGGAGAGTGAGGGCGCTGGGGTAGAGAATGGGAGGGCGCTGGGGATGGGTCGTTACCTGGAAATGGGATGAGTGTGAGGGAATGCGATGGCGCCGGGGTAGAGAGTGTGAGAGCGCTGTGGGAGAGAATATGAGGGCGCTGTGGGAGAGAATATGAGGGCGCTGTGGGAGAGAATATGAGGGCGCTGTGGGAGAGAATATGAGGGCGCTGTGGGAGAGAATATGAGGGCGCTGTGGGAGAGAATATGAGGGCGCTGTGGGAGAGAATATGAGGGCGTTGTGGGAGAGAATATGAGGGCGCTGTGGGAGAGAATATGAGGGCGCTGTGGGAGAGAATATGAGGGCGCTGTGGGAGAGAATATGAGGGCGCTGTGGGAGAGAATATGAGGGCGCTGTGGGAGAGAATATGAGGGCGCTGTGGGAGAGAATATGAGGGCGCTGTGGGAGAGAATATGAGGGCGCTGTGGGAAAGAATATGAGAGCGCTGTGGGAGAGAATATGAGGGCGCCGCGCTCTTTTGTGGAAAGGCAACAGCTTAGAGGCATCGTGGATGTGAGATCGATTAGGAAATGTGAGAAGCTGACCTTTCACGGGAGGCAGTGCTGTGCGGTGCGGACGACGGGAAGGATCACAGGGAAGTCGACGGAAATGACATCTGGGGTCGACGGGAAAGGGTAAGGCGGCCGACGAGAAGGGAATCTGCAGTCGACGGGCTGACGAAATTTAGGCGATGGGATCGCCTATAGCTGGCGCATCGAAGAGGAAATGCGACTGAATCGACGCGGAAATGTGGGTGAAGCGAAGGGGAAATGCGGCCCACGAATTGAAGGGGAAATGCGGGCGGGTCGAACGGGACCTGCGTGTGACGGGTAGGGGATATTAGCACTACGGGAATGGCACGCTCACGCAACGAAAATGCTAAATGCGGGCGACGGGAATTCTAAATGCGGGCGTCGCCGGGTATCGGAACTGCACGCGCTGTAACCCTAAAATTGTGGGCGACGGGGCTTGAACTTGCGTGCGATGTATAGGGGAAACGCGGATGGTATCCCGTCGTTTTGGTCGCATGGTGACGTTTTCCTACTTGAAGTTCAGCTTCTAACCTGGTGTAAGGTATGTCGAGGTGCTTTTGTTTACTCTCATATAACATATGCAGTCACATTCCCCTCCCAAGTCATTTGCTTGGTGCGACACCAGGTTGTCGCACTTTGTTTTCGCTAGGGTGCAACTTTCGTTAAACTTCCGAACCTCAGTTTGCTTGACCCCCAACCCAACCCAAACCTAGCGTTGACTCGCTTTTGTAATTCAGGCTGCGGTACAGGTTTTTTTTCAGGTGCTGCATTTTCTGTAGTGACTGTATTCAGAAAACAACCAGAAACACCTACTACTATATCGCGGAACTGTGTTTCTGTTAGTGATTACACCTGAGAACCTGCTCGGGAATAATTTGAGTATCTATGATATTGGCCGAAAGTTCGACACAAGAGTTGCTTTCCAGGACCCAGGACACAACCGGTTGCGTTCCTTAGTGGTTACCACCCCGTTTTTCGCTTGATCGCGATCGCAGCCACAGGTGTAGTCCCGCGTAGCGAATATTCAAATAAAAGCTGTTGTTCCCTGATCGTTCCAAGCACGTGCCCATAGTGGCACGTTTTTTAGTCGCCTCCATTTTCCAGCAATTGCTCCTACTGACACCTGTTACAAACTCGAGATTACGGTCCCCTTTCAAAAAAACAGTTCGCTCAGATGACATTTGCATGGCAACTCCCACTATGACAACTCGCCATTTTCGTAAACTCTTCGTCGAATCAGGTGAGGCTGGTAACTTCAACGAGGGGAAACCACTGTGCGGCCAAGCACGCACAGCCATCACGTGCTCATCCCAGAATCGTAGTCCCCGCCGTAGTAATTAGTATCACATTGCGCATACTGATTCCGCGTCGCGTAGAACTTAACCAGTCAGTCCTCCTCCTCTTCTCACGCTATTTTGTCTTCTCGTCTTTTTACCCCTCTCCCAGGGTGAGCTTCACAACTGCGCTCTCGCGTCCACATAATTCTGAAGCCGCCGTCCTACTCTTTCCCGAAAAGCGTAAATCTCTCAATCGCGTATTTCAGATCGTTTGGCGTGTTCGGCAACTGTTGGGAGATCATATTCAAGTGTCTGCGCTAATCTCTCACGACGTTCTCATGTTCGAAACCCTAGAAACAGGTAAGGCTGGTCCCGTCATAGCAATCAACTAGCTTGCAAACCATCACTTCCGTTGATCTCACTTTCGTGCCTTACGTCGGAAATGGAGAAGCGCGGTAGGCTTAGTGCATAAAGAGGGAGCTCCTGGATATTCCAATTTTACATGTCAAAAGCTCAGTGAAAAGAGGAAAAGCTTGCATGTAGGTAGACGTCACACGTCCATGCTCTTATTCAGGCAAACGTAACGTCAAGAGGGTAATCACTGACATGTGAGTGTGAGGTGAACTGAACAGAATAGACACTGCCAAGATAAGAAAGTGACGTGCTTGTGATGACGACATTGCCACAATTCCCGTCATCACACACATATCCCTACATTTTTGCTGTCCTCATTTTTTTGCCGCTACATACACGCTGGCGCTGCTATGCGTCCGCTATAGTTGTGACAGCTCGCATTTCCTCTACCAAGCTCCAGTCACGAGCAGCTGGTGAGGCAAGTAATAATCACCTCTTCCTCAACACCCTAGCAATTATCCACCCTCGCTCACTACTGAAGTATCCACCCTGACCCCTCCCATGCCCATGTGGGAACCCGCATATCCTGCCCCACCTGAAAGGTACCCTGACCAGCCAAGCGAGTTCATTCGCATACGACCTCCTCTGACAAGTCGCGCTGGGGTTCAAATCAAGAGAAAATCTGACTCGCGAGTAAGTTCTTCCTCGCCTTTTTGGCGGAGTAAATAACTTTACTCCATGGGAGATGGTCGCCTCAGTTGAGCCATTCAAAAGCCAAGGCCTTAGTCTGGCCCAGTTCTAGTAGGTTAAACTAGGCGAGGTACAGTTGGCTCATGTCCACTTTGGTTGAATGGAACCCCCTCTCTTGTAGGCATGAGGCCCGACCCGACCGGTTTTAACGCCTGGCCTGGCCGGGTCGGGTCGGGTCGGGTTTTGACTCGACAAAGACCCGCCCCGAAATCGGGTAAAAAGATAGAGAAACCAGGTCGGGTATTGACCTGACCCGATTTTGACAGTTGGAAACCCAGATCTCGATCTCAGGGACAATTACCCCCTCCATGTCATTCCGCAACCTAATCGATGCCTAGAGCCTAGGAACCCTAGGACGTTAGTAATCAGGCATAGAAACCCCCTTAGCTCTCTCTTTGAAGCAATGGCGCCGTTCATACCTACGTTTAGGCGCCAGTTTACGGGTTCCGGTTTTGCTTAGGGCGCTTGGGGCTCCAAAATCTTTAGTGCTCACACATAATCTGGGCGCCTAGGGAGGGCGTTACTGTACCCGACCCAACCCCAGGCTAGACCTGACTTCCACAGGAAGGTTCGGGTCAAGGTCTTGAAAACTCTGGCCCGAGTCGACCCGACCCAACCCGACCCGACCCTACCCGACCCGATACCCTGGCCCGTTGCTTTTGGGTCGGACCATTTTCTCATGCCTACTCTCTGGTTTTTTTTTTTTTTTTTTTTTTTTTTTTTTTTTTTTTTTTTTTTTTTTTTTTTTTTGTGCGTGGTCTTTCCCTGTTTACCTCCATGCATTCATCTCCAACCGATTTTGACACGCCAGAGTGCCATTCACGTCGAGCATTCTGCAGTGGGGAAGAGGGAAGAGGCTGAATTTTGCCTGTAGTTATGGCTGTCGAGGGGGAGGCAAGTGTGACAAGTGAGGCAGTAAATGGACTGTTCGGATTAGTGAGAGGGGAGTTGGCAGCATTGAGGGGGGAGCTGGTAGTGGTCCGGGAGGAGGTGGCTCGACAGAAGGAGCGAGTGTTGATGCTGGATGAGAGAAACCGGGATTTGGAAAATGAGTTGAGGCGTGCACTGGGTGTTGTGGAAGAGAGGAGTGTGGCGACTGCTGCTGTGGTGGAGAAGGGGAGAGAGGTGGCAGCAGTGAACGGGGAACTGATTCGCATCAATGCAGAGTTGGCAGTAGTGAATGGGAATCTGACTGCAGTGAGGGGGAATGTGACTGCAATGAAAGGGAAGGTGAATGCACTGAAGTGGGAGGTAAATGCAGTGAAGGGGGAGGTGAGTGCAATGAAGGGGGAGGTAAATGCAGTGAAGGGGAAGGTGAGTGGAGTGAAGGGGGAGGTCAATGCAATGAGGGGGGGTGTGAATGCAGTGAAGGGGGAGGTGAATGCAGTGAAGCGGGGGGTGAGTGCAGTGACGCGGGAGGTGAATGCAGTAAAGGGGGAGTTGAATGCGGTGAAGGGGGGGGTAAATGCAGCGAGGGGGGAGGTGAGTGCAGTGAAGGGGGAGTTGGCTGAGCACAAGCAATCAACTGCATTGCAGCTGGAGGAGGCTGAGAGGAGACGAGTGGCGGAGATGAGAGGGCAGATGGAGGAATGGGAGAGGAAGCTGGCAGCAGTGAAGGGGGAGTTGGCTACAGTGAAGAAGGATTCTCCCAAGAAGTTGGATGTTGACCTGCAAATCAGGCAGAGTGAAGGGGATCATGTTATAGTCACAATAGGCTTGAATGTGCCTAAAACGAAAGATAAAGAGCACAGACGGATTTCTGCACAGCGGCTTCAAACGTTGATAGCGTTCTGCTCACAGCTGCAAATGACTTGATTCAAATTGGATCTGGAGCGTCTTCACGTCGTCTAGAATTAGCAATTTAGATTGCACGATTTGATAAAGAATTGACGACACAGCGTCGGTTTGAACGAACGGTACTATGGCAGCCACTATAGTCTTAGAACACAAGATAGGAAGAGTTACGAGTTGGGAATGACTCCCAGCTCCTACAAACCCCAAGAGCCGAGGTACAGTGATGTGGAACAGTGCCACACTGTCCCCAACCACGAAGGGTCTCGAAACTACCCTTCACTAGGGCCTACACCAAGTGAAATGTTACACTACACAAAGTAATGTAACTATCTTCAATATCTTGAGGTGTACCCTTTTGGCAAGCTTCGAAATCACTTGAGGCTTGACACCAAGGCTCGGGCTCTTCATCACAAACTCATCCTTGAGTTCTTGATGGGTCTGCTGCACACACCTGCGACACGCCGAACGTTCGACACAGGACAAAATAGAAACCGCGCACGACAAAATAGAAACCGCGCGCGAGACACAAACGACCGCGTAACACGCGTCTAGCGATAACTCGCTATTGACTTGACACACACACTCGACATCATGACTCAACATTCACACACAATTATAAGCATGAAATATATATTATCCCATGCCCTCATACCATTCCATACACACACACATTCACGCACACGGACAACAAGCCGAGTGCAAACCGTAGGGTTGCACCAACAAACTCCCCCTCGGATTGTTGGCCTTAGGATATGTTGCTCTCTCAGTTCAAAGCCATCCCAGCCAGCTTGCAACACTTCCAATGCTGCTGCTCCACCAGCCTCTTGGTCATCATGTCAGCCGGCTGCCCCGTGGTCTTCACGTAGCGCAACTCAACTTCACCCGCGGTTACCATGCTCCTCGTCCAATGCCACTTCACCCTCATGTGCTTCGTGAGTCCATGCAACACAGGGTTTTTAGCAAGAGCAATGGCACCCTGGCTGTCACAGTACAGTGGGGTAGGTCCTTGCTGCTCCTCCCCCAATTCAGCCAACAAACGCCGCTGCCACACAATCTCCCGTACGACACGGAAGAGTGCCATGTACTCGGACTCCACCGAGCTCAAAGCTTGGTCAACCTGCTTCTTGCTCTCCCAAGCAGTTGGGCCTCCACCAACACAGCATATGAAGCCTCCCACACTTGTCATGTCCTCTGGTTCTGATGCATATGAAGCATCCGAGTAGGCGGTGAGGAACAAACGCCCGGGTTCAACACCATCCGCGCCCTTTTGGCGCCTTTGTGCCGCCGCCGAGTATTGCAGCCCAACGGTCGGTGTTTGGCCAAGATACTTGGCCACCCTCATTCCAGCTGCTAACTGCTCCTCATTAGGGCATTGCACAACCCTAGCCAGCTGCCTGGTAGCAAACGCGACGTCCGGTCGGGTGTTTACCGCCGCATACATGAGGCTGCCCACCAACAAGTGAAATCGGCGCCTCTCCTCTTCACCAACGCTCTCCTCCTCTGGTCCCTTCACACACTTGAACCCAGAGGGAAAGGGTGTAGCCACATGGCCTTCACTCTGCCCAAAGTTGGCAGCCAATGCCTCCAGGTACTTTCGTTGATGCACCCGCATGCACCGCTTCTCCACATCTCGTTCGATGTGGAGCCCAAGGTAGAAGCTCACGTCACCAAGGGCCTTGCACTTGAACTTGTCTTGAAGCTTCAGCATCACCTCCTTCACAAGGTCAGAAGAGGGTGAGAAAATGAGGATGTCATCCACATAAACCACCATGAAACTCCTCTGCTCCCCCTCGCCAAGCATGAACAAGGAGTGATCGGCCGTTGAGGGAGTGAAGCCGATCCCCTCCAACACTTCGCGCAGCTTCATGTACCATTGCCTAGGGGCCTGCTTCAGCCCATAGAGGGCCTTCTTCAGCTTCCACACTCTGCCACTACCATCATCAAACCCCTCTGGCTGCGCCATAAAAATCTCCTCCTCAAGGATGCCGTTAAGGAATGCCGTTATGATGTCCATTTGCTTTACTACCCATCCTTTGATGGCGGCTCCCGCGAATAGGGTTCGCAGCGTCGTCGGCTTCACCACAGGGGCAAACAGCTCCTTGAAGTCCACCTTCTCCTTCTGCTGGTACCCCTTGGCTACAAGCCTAGACTTGTAGCGCTCGATCTTGCCGTCGGCATCCGACTTGATTTTGAAGAGCCACTTGGACGTTATCGCCGTACGCCCCTCCGGTAGCTCCACCAATTCAAACGTGCCATTCTCCTCGATGATCTTCAGCTCACTCTCCATGGCCTTCTTCCACTCCTCAGCATCACTACTCTCCAAAGCCTCCTTGAGAGTTGCTGGTTCTCCCGGCATCTCCACCGGAGAGAAGAACGCGAAGGCACACTCCTCGTAGTCACTCTCCTCGTCGTCTCCGACCATCATTGCCGCTCCGGCCAGGGCTGTCTTGCCCTGCTTTCCCGGCGCATCATAGGTCAGCCTATTAGGGGGTTGAACTCTCCTCTTCCCCCTTCCTTCCTCCTCAGCTGCAGGGACTTGAAGGCCTTGGCGTTGCTGCGGTGTGGCTCGAATCCGTGGAGCACTCGTAGTACGGGAAGGGAGTGACGGTGCACGCTCGCTCACTTGCTGCACCTCCTCCCCTTCTTCCTCTGCATCATTGGCCTCCTCTCCCCCATTCACAAGGGAGGATTGCCTTGTGGTTGTGCTGCCGCTGCTCAGCTCCAAAGGCAGCTCCACATGCTCCAAACCGGAACTCTTCACCTCCCCAAACCGCACGCCTATCTTCGCCTCATTCTCCGCCTTCCAATCCTTGTACATGAAGTTCTCCATGAACTTGCAGTCCCTGCTCACCAAGAACTTCTTGGTGAATGGGTCCCAAAGAAGCCATCCCTTGCTGTTTTGAGCCATGCCCAAGTGCACGGCCCACACCGCCTTGGCACCAAGCTTGTTGTGCCGAAGATGCTTAGGCACGAGCGCCATGCACATGCACCCGAACACCCGAAGCATATCCACCTTTGGCTTCCTTCCTAGCCACTCCACATAGGGCACCCATTTGTCTGCTCCCACATGAGTCAAGGCTCTGTTCTTGGCCACACACGCGCTCCGCACCGCATCAGGCCAGAAATAGTCGGGTAGCCCGGCTTCAATGAGCAACCCGCGTGCCGCCTCCGTGATTGTGCGGTTCGCTCGCTCGGCGATGCCGTTCATTGCAGGGGAGTATGGCATGGTGAGGGAGTGCCGAATACCATTCTTCTTCAGCCACAACCCAAACTCCTTGCTCAAGAACTCTCCCCCTCGATCGGTGCGGATTGACTTGACTAGACGGTCTTGTTGCCGCTCCACCATCGGAAACCAATCCGTCTTCAACGTTTCAGCCACGTCGCTCTTCTTGGCCAGCACGTACACCCAAGTCATGCGGGTGTAGACGTCGACAATGGTGAGAAAATACTCAGCTCCAGCAGCTCCAAGCTTCAGGGGGCCCACCACGTCCATCACCACCTCATCAAGCGGTGCCTTTGCCGTTGCCTCCGAACTAGGGAACGGAAACCGGGTGAACTTGGCTTGAATGCACGTCGGGCAGCCAAGCACCTCATCGGGCTCCCCCTTCACACGTATGCCAGCAACCATCTCATTCTTCACTAGCTGCTGCAAGATGGGCAGGGCCACATGCCCCATGCGCCGATGCAAGGTGAGCCAATCACACTCCCCCGTAGCCGAAGTTGGATTGGAGAATGCCGCGCTCGCAATAGCGCCCCACATACTCTCTCCGTAGTCCTCCTCCGCTGCTGCCTCTGGGTTCTCCTCACCCTTTTGCTGCTCCTTGGTTGCTGCACCACTCTCCTTAGGTTCACTGAACTTGCTGGTCCCTCCAGGTTTGCTCTTCTTGAGCTCATTCTCCTTAGCGCGACCGTTCGCGCCATCGTCGCTACCGACCGCTCCATCCTTGGTGCTGATGCTTGCTGCCACTTGCCTCTCCTTAGGCATAGGGACCACTGGGATCTGCCACATCTCGTTGTAGACATCCCTGTCCTCATGAAGGTCCCAAAGAATTCGATCGCCAAGCCTTGCGGTATAGGTCTTGGCTCCCTTCGAGTTCGTGTCCATGCCGGCCTTTGCCAACCGCCGGACGGAAATCAGGTTTGCAGCAAGGCTGGGCACCCAAAGCACGTTCTTGAGGCCCACCATCTTCCCATCAGCACCCTTGAACATGGCCTTGCCCATGCCTTTCACCTCTGCTCGCTGCCCCAAAGCCGATGTGACATGCTTCACCGGTGACGGCTCGAGTTCGGTGAGCAAGTCCGGGCGAGGTGTCATGCTATAGGTAGCGCCACTATCAATCACCCAATAGTCCAGGGGGTGTAGGGTCACCTTCCCCACAGCTGCTGGCTCCTCAAAGCCTTCATCCTTCTCTGGACCAGCCGGTACTTGCGTCGACACGAAGTAGAATAGACCCGGGTATCGATCGTCGCTCGGGTCCTTGTCGTTGTCTCCGCTCTTCATGTTTGCAGCTCCGCCACCGCGACCGCCACGGCCTCCACGGCCTCGTCCTCTCCCTCCTCCTGCTCCTCTACCCTCTTGGCCTTGAGCAGGGGTCCAACCATCAGGGAGTTTGTAGCAGTCGCGCCACATGTGTCCGCTCTTGTGGCAATAGTGACACTCGCCGTCGAATCGGCCGCGACCGCGTCCGTAGCTCTTGTCGTCGCTGCCGTAACCGCCACTCCTGCGGCCTCCGCCGAAGTTGCTGCCACCAAACCTTCCTCCCCCTCGTCCTCTGCCTCTTCCTCGACCATATCCATGGCCGATGCTCGCTGCCCCAGCGCCATCCGCACTCGCCAACTCACGGCGGCGGAAATCCTCTTGAATGATAGCTCGCTTCACGTCTTCAAGCGAGAGGCGGGGCAAGTCGCGATTAAGGTTGATGATGAGCGAGGACCATGACTCTGGGAGTAAGGCCAGCAACTTGGTCTTCTTTTGGAGCTCACTGTAGTTCAAATCAGCTCCCTCAAGCCGCGTCAACAAGTCGAAGAATTTCTGCACCCCTTCTTCAACCGCTTCGTTTTCTTCAATTCGTAGTGCCGCCATTTGCCGTTCCAACACCACCGCTACCGCCGCTGTTGCAGGAGCATGTACACCCTTGAGAGCAGCCCATGCCTTTGGTCCTTTTTCTGGTTCACGCTGGAATGGCTTGATGTGACGGATCTGACTGCTCCCCAACGCTTGCCCAAGTAAGAGATAGCCTTGTGCGCTCTTCCGCACCCACGGGCTCTTCTCCGGGTCGTTCTCGGGGCGCTTCTCCGTTCCTTCCATCACCTCCAGCAGGTCATAGTGGTCAAAGATATTCTCCATCTTGAAGGACCATTCAGCAAAGTTGTCACCGTTGAACTTGTCAAGCCCAAACACCCTAGGCTCATCCCTAGGTGGGCCAAGACTTGGTTGCATGGGCGCCATGGCTGAATCACGGGGTTGGCCTTGAGCTTGAGCTTCTCCACTGCCACCAGCACCTCTGCCACCCCTTTCCTCAGGTCCAGACATTGTCGAAACTGCTCCAAGGGGCTCTGATACCACTTGTTATAGTCACAATAGGCTTGAATGTGCCTAAAACGAAAGATAGAGAGCACAGACGGATTTCTGCACAGCGGCTTCAAACGTTGATAGAGTTCTGCTCACAGCTGCAAATGACTTGATTGAAATTGGATCTGGAGCGTCTTCACGTCGTCTACAATTAGCAATTTAGATTGCACGATTTGATAAAGAATTGACGACACAGCATCGGTTTGAACGAACGGTACTATGGCAGCCACTATAGTCTTAGAACACAAGATAGGAAGAGTTACGAGTTGGGAATGACTCCCAGCTCCTACAAACCCCAAGAGCCGAGGTACAGTGATGTGGAACAGTGCCACACTGTCCCCAACCACGAAGGGTCTCGAAACTACCCTTCACTAGGGCCTACACCAAG